GTTTTGTTAGAATTAGAGGAGGAAAAGAATTCATCGTATCAATTGTTCGATATCCAGGACTAACAATTCTTCGAATGTAGAATTAGAGTGTAAGAAACCTATTTAGGCACTAGATAAAAAATCCAGTCTCAAACCGTCAAAAAGGAGGTCAGAAGTATCAAGAAGGAATTAAAATTGAGAGAAAATATCGAACAAGAGCGAAGCCTTTCTGTCCACCTGCATGCTAATTCATTCGTTTTTATGCCATCGTATGCCTCATTTTGATTCTTTGACGGCTCAGGGCCTGTGCTACAATCCAAGGGTAACTATGTCAACACAGTCCTTCAAGATCGCAAAGAGGAGACAGTAGCTCAAGTGCAAGCGCTTTCGCGTTATCATCCATCCTGAACCACCTTTATAATAAAGTTCGGATATAACGCGCGCTGTCATTGGTTGAAAGAGCGTGCTCTATGAGAGTATAGAGCATAGAGCTGAGCTAAAGCTGTCACGCCATCTGCCAATTGTACTATGTTCGAGCTTTTCCGGGACTTCTTTTTAGCTTTTTTCCGATAATTGAAAGTGAAATTTCGGAACTGAAGCGAGCCGGCAAGTAGCAACAGATGAATCAAACAAAGGTTTGTAACACATATCAGGCGCCGTAAATTACGTTATTAAAACGTCAGCAGATACGAAAATCCTCAAAGGAAAAACAAAATAAACATTCCGAGTTTTAAAGATTTTCACGCTCAGTTAGATTGCAAGCTTACGTACGGTAATAAAAATCAAACACAGCTAACACTCGTTCAGTGTTCAAAAACAAAACAGAACAAAACAGAAATGATGAAAAATATAACCAAACTGGCATAATTGTTAAAATTCATTCTAATCATGACGGTGTCTGACCGAATATGATCATGCTGAAGTCCATCGCGGCTCGCTCATCATGGTGATCTCCGGTCATCACAGTAAAGCAAGCCTCAGAAACTACATCGGCCGCCCTTCGAGTGAAAAAAATAAGAGCTTGCTCTGATATCCTTTCCTATTCATTGAGTGGCAATTCACATCAGTCACTGCAGCCGAGTTTTGCGGCGCTGTCATCACGAGCGATCTTCATGTTCCAGTGAATTCGGCTGTCGTTCACTCAAAAAACACTCGCCTTGAACAGTTTGTTTTCTACCTTGTCATGTGAAAAAACTCGCATGTTTTTATGAGCTATAATTCGGCTGAAGTTCACTGAACATTTCACTTTAAGATTCTGTATTAGAGACTTAAAAACTTCAGGCAAAAGTGTTAAATTCGACTTGCCGAACTATTTTAGTTTGTAAACTATCGTAGAATGTGAACTTTGATGGTTTTTGAACTTTGATGGTTTGACACTTTTGACAGCTTTAATCTTGTACAGCCAATCAGATTATTTGAACCATTCTAACGAGGATTCTGATTGGCTTATTGTAGCGTGCTTTATGAGAGTATAGAGCATGCTGACGACATTGTTGTTCGCTTTGGAAATAAAGTTTGTTTTGAAAATTGAAAGTAATGCTTGGGTAATTTAACGGATTCTTTATTATAAAACAAATAGAGAAGCCTTGACTGTGCTCTGTTCTGTTATAAACCACTTAGGAAGCGGCTAGAGCACTCAAGAAGTGGGAGAAACACTCGACTACGTCTCGTGTTTCTCTCTACACTTCTTTCGTACTCTAGCCGCTTCCTCATCGGCAGAAATATTGGACAAGATGGCGGCCGCGCTTGCGCATTTCGTCCCAAATGGCGTCCAAGTAATGTAAGAAACTGTATGGAAATTTGTAAAATTTCTAAAATATAACAATCAGGAGCTCATGGTCCCGTCTGCTCTCGATTGAGACATATTCAGTACTGATTCTGCTATTCATCAAACCTCACAGGGACTCGATAAATAAAAACACTTACTTCCCGAGCCAGTTCTTTTGTCATTGATCATTGACCTAGGTCGCCATACAGTTCTTCAAAATCCGTCGTTCTCCATCCCAAAAACTCGCCAGGAAAGTGCATCAATAAAGTCAACTGCTCTCTATCGAATTGACTGCTACAGAGTTCGAAGCGTCCAAATATCCTGTAAAATTGCCATTTCCTCCCATCAAAAAACTTCCCAACACGCCAGAATATCCCTTATTTTCCATGTTGAGTAAGTGACGAGACGCCATGTTGAAAACTATGACTGAAATAGTTAAACACGAGCAATGCTGATCTTCGAATCGTCGGCCATATTTGTTTAAGTTCTTGCAGGGAAATAAATTAGTTCTCAGGTCCTTTTCGGAATAAAAATATGCCAGGCATTGAATGCAAATTCAGCAGTCTTGGCATGAAAATTAAATTAAAGCAAATCAAAATTCTGACATCATATCATCGCTCTGCCTCGAAAAATCCCAAAGATTTACTTGTAGGTCTTCTTTTCTTTTTCTTACCTTGTCATGGTACGAAACATTCTTCTTTGCAGATCGAGCCGTGATCGCCGCCATATTGAATTCTTTTGATATTCTATTTTTCCGGAGTGTAATACGATATACCGCTGAAAATTGTTAGCGGGCTCGAAATGTCCTTGATTTCTGGCGATGGCGTGCTTTATAACAGAACAGAGCACAGTCAAGGCTTCTCTATTTGTTAAATAAAATCATCCTGTCGTCAAACAGATCAGATCTGCCCTCCTGTAGTGGTCAGCACACTCTCGTTAAGTGCAGCAACTTTCTTAAGAAGTCCTATTCAGGGCCTTCAGTTGCAAAGGGTCAAATGACTTAAAATTTGCTATCTGTTGTCACGCGACGCCAGCGGGGAAACTGTACACGTCGACTTCATTTGCATACGCAATTTTATCGGATATGCCGAAATACAATGATCAGAATTCCTGAAAAAAGAGTTTTAACCGTTTTAGCTTTTGTGATGGCAATTTGCGTATCTTTCCAGCTAAGACTTATTTGGAGTACTCTTTCCTCCTTTTCTGACATTGTTCGTAAACAACTAGATGTCGAAAACCATGTGAAGCGGATCCAATTACGAGAACTGAAAATGAATCACACGACAACTTCTACTTCGCAAATTCATCACAAAACATTTCTTATAACCAGGAGATCTTGTATGCAACATTACGATCTTCTTATCATTATCTCATCCGCTCCAGGTAATTTCGAAAGAAGGAATAACATTCGTAAGACATGGGCATTTGAAAGATCCGCAAAACCAAGATGGACGTCAGTTTTTCTGGTCGCTCAAACACGGAATGAAACAGTTTCGAACGTGTTGCTCGACGAAGATGAAGCACTTAAGGACCTTGTGCGAGCTAGCTATTACGACCACTACTGGAATCAAACCCGAAAGATACAAATGGGCTTCGAGTGGGCAGTAACGTATTGCAATTTCTCGTTTCTTTTGAAATTGGATGACGACGTTTTCGTGCACGTTCCAAGAGTTCTCTCCTTCTTAAGCGCACCCACCACGCCGAAGAAGATGCTTTATGCTGGCTGTCATTATGCAAACATGGGCCCTCATAGGAAAGGCAAATGGATGGTAACTTACGAGGAGTATAACGAGACAAGATATCCAGACTTTTGCCCCGGTTTTGGATACATTTTATCTCACGATGTTGTGCGCGCATTTGTTGACACTTTCTCTTCTTTGCCGTTCTTCAGACTGGACGATGTTTACGTTGGCATGCTGGCGAGTAAGAACGGAATAAGTATCACAAACAATGTGGGCTTTGAAGTATGGCATCCACCCCAGTATGTATGTGTTCCAACAAAGAATACTTTAGTCAGGCATGATGTAGGGGAAGAGTGCCAAATGAAAATGTTTAACTTAGCCATTTTCCCTCAATAGTTCGATGGGCTGGTTAGTACATACGTATATTTAGATAAATTCTTCAGTGAGTGATGTTTCCCTATTCAATATCCGTTGTTCATTTGAGTGCAGCTATTTAAAGCTATATTTGTTTTGAATGTGCGTAGCTCGAAGAGTCAGAATCAGGGCATTGGATGCTACAACATTCACCGACAATTAGGCTGGATGTCAGAGCAAGTTATATATCTGTCACAATAAGCCGTAGATATCAAGAAACGACTATCGCAGTTTATTTTATGGGGAATATTATTGAATTTTATTGCTTTCTCATCTTGTAAAAATTGATTGCAACTTGAAATAGATTTATTTTTCCTTGAAAATTCACAAAAAGTAACTGTAAAGAGGCTTGTTGGATGAATTAGCAAAGTTTGTATCACACTGCATTGATATGCTTTAATAGTGTTTGGGAATGAGTTGCTCTTAGAGGCTAAAGCTATCAAAATGTGATGTAAGATCTAGCTCTTACCGACTTGAGAGCAATCAAAACTTTATATTCTTTTATCCAGACACATGCAGGGTGAAGAAGCAAGAGACACGGAACAATTTATTTCAGAAACAATTTAGTTCAGAAATCAACTCTTCTAGCGGGTTTTTTAAGCAATCTTAAAACATTGACTCATACATGTAACCAAAGATTACTCAACGGAACTATTCCGTTTTAGTGTAGAATAGAAACTGTCACACGGCTACAGGGGTCAAATAATCTCTAGGCTTTCAATTTTACTTTTACCTATTAAAATAGAGTCCTCATCATTATGCTCAGTAATCGGCTGTCTAAAACCCTGCTTTTGATGTAAAAATATGTTGGTTATAGTATTTATGTTGTTACATATTGTCAGTTTAGAATTAATAAACTCATATTAATTCAATTCAAGTCAATTCAGTTGATACTGTTAAAGCAGGACAAGCGGAGATTAAACGTAGGGAAAACATGCAGGGAGAAAATATGGAACACACTGAAGCCCTAATTCCGTTTGAACAGTCGATCCGTAAAATCATCCGTTAGTAAATTCATAGCACACAAAATCCACCAGATCTGCTATCTGAGGAGTGAGTTCAATGGCGCGCGTAAAGATTGTCACGTTTTGTTGGAATTAGACGAAGAAGAGAATACTTTGTATCAATGGTTCGATGTCCAGGACTGTCGATTCTTCGAATGTAGAATTAGAGTGCAAAAAACGTATTTAGGCACAAGATAAAAATCCAGTCTTACACCATCTAAGAAAATAAGCTACGGAGGAAGGTCCAATTCAACTGACAGGACAACATTGAGTTCTTTCTCTACGAAACATTTTTCTCGAAAGTTAAAAGGATTTAAGAGATCTTTCTGCCATTTTGTTTTGTTGTGCTTTTGCCGACTTTAATCAATTCAATCTCAAAATTTTAATCTGTTCGGGATTAATTCACGTATTCTCAGCCAATGAGCATGCTGATATTTTTGAATGGAAAAGTACATTGTTTTAAAATATTAATAATTAAGGTTTCGCTTTAAGCGACGCCAGCAGGCAAGTTTACACTCCGCCAATTTTATTTGCATACCCAATTTTATCAGGTTATCTGGAATACAATGATCCGAATTCAAGGAAAAAGAGTTTTGACCGTTTTAGCTTTTGTGATGGCAATTTGTGTATCTTGGATGAGAAAAGGGAGAGGCTCGTCGATTGAAAATTAAACTCGCTCATCGAAATTCCGCCCTTAAGAGATTAAAGAAACATATTAAAAGAATGAACGCGTACAGTGACCCTTAAACAACAAGAAGAAAAGAACTTGAACCAGTTGAGGAGTGAGTTCAATGGCGCGCGTAAATATCATCACGTTTTGATGGAATTAGACGAGGAAGAGAATACTTTGTATCAATGGTTTGATGTCCAGGACTGTCGATCCTTCAAAGTAGAATTAGAGTGCAAAAAACGTATTTTGGGCACTAGATAAAAATCCAGTCTTACACCGTCTAAGAAAATAAGCCACGGAGGAAGGTCCAATTCAACTGACAGGACAACATTGAGTTCTTTCTCTACGAAACATTTTTCTCGAAAGTTAAAAGGATTTAAGAGATCTTTCTGCCATTTTGTTTTGTTGTGCTTTTGCCGACTTTAATCAATTCAATCTCAAAATTTTACTCTGTTCGGGATTAATTCACGTATTCTCGGCCAATGAGCATGCTGATATTTTTGAATGGAAAAGTACATTATTTTAAAACATTAATAATTATGGTTTCGCTTTAAGCGACGCCAGCAGGCAAGTTTACACTCCGCCAATTTTATTTGCATACCCAATTTTATCAGGTTATCTGGAATACAATGATCCGAATTCAAGGAAAAAGAGTTTTGACCGTTTTAGCTTTTGTGATGGCAATTTGTGTATCTTTCCAGCTAGGTCTTATATGGAGTACTCGTTCCTCCTTTTCTGACATTGTTCGTGAACAACTAGATGTCGAAAACCACGTGCAGCCCACACAATTGCGAGAACTGAAAATGAATCACACGACAACTTCTACTTCGCAAACTCATTACAAATCATTTCTTATAACCAAGAGATCTTGTATGCAACATCACGATCTTCTTATGATTATCTCATCCGCTCCAGGTAACTTCGAAAGAAGGAATAAAAACACATACTAATATTAGGTTGTAAAGGGTTAGATGACGTAAACTTTACTTTCTGTTCCTACGTAACGCCAGCAAGCCGCCGCACATGTCGACTTTATGGGCATTGGCAATTTTCTCGGGTTTGCCGGTAAACGATGATCAGAATACATGGAAAAAGAGTTTTGGCGGTTTTAGCCTTTTTGATGGCAATCTATGTATTTTTCAAACTAGGACTTATACGGAGTACCCGTTCCTCCTTCTCTGACATTGTTCGTGAACAACCAGATGTCGAAAACGACGTGCGGCAGACGCCATTACGAGAACTGAAAGTGAATCACACGACAACTCCTACTTCGCAAATCAATTACAAATCATTTCTTATAACCAGGAGATCTTGTATGCAACATTACGATCTTCTTATCATTATCTCATCCGCTCCAAGTAATTTCGGAAGAAGGAATAACATTCGTAAGACATGGGCATTCGAAAGATCCGCAAAACCAAGATGGACGTCAGTTTTTCTGGTCGCCCAGACACGGAATGAAACAGTTTCGAACGTGTTGCTTGACGAAGATGAAGCACTTAAGGACCTTGTGCGAGCTAGCTATTATGACCACTACTGGAATCAAACCCGAAAGATACAAATGGGCTTCGAATGGGCAGTAACGTATTGCAATTTCTCGTTTCTTTTGAAATTGGATGACGACGTTTTCGTGCACGTTCCAAGAGTTCTCTCCTTCTTAAGCGCACACACCACGCCGAAAAAGATGTTTTACGCTGGCAATCACTACACAAATCCTGTTCCTTTAAGGGAGGGTAAATGGAAGGTAACTTACGAGGAATATAGCGGGATGAGATATCCAGACTTTTGCCCCGGTTTTGGATACATTTTATCTCACGATGTTGTACGTGCATTTGTTGACACTTTCTCTTCTTTGCCGTTCTTCAGACTGGACGATGTTTACGTTGGCATGCTAGCAAGTAAGAACGGAATAAATATTACAAACAATGTGGGTTTTGAACTATGGCATCCGCCCCAATATGTATGTGTTCCAACAAAGAATACTTTAGTCAGGCATGATGTAGGGGAAGAGTGCCAAATGAAAATGTTTAACTTAGCCATTTTCCCTCAGTAGTTCGATGGCGTGGTTAGTACATACGTATATTTTCATAAATTCTTCAGTGAATAATTTTTCCCTATAAAATATCCGTTGTTCATTTGAGTGCAGCTAATTAAAGCCATCTTTGTTTTGAATGTGCGAAGCTCGAAGAGTCAGAATCAGGGCATTGGATGCTACAACATTCACCGACAATCAGGCTGAGTGTGTGAGCAAGTTGTGTATCTGTCAAAATAAGCCGTAGATATCAAGAAACGACTATCGCAGTTTATTATTTTATGGGGAATTTATTGAATTTTACTGCTTCCTCGTCTTGTAAAAATTGATTGCAACTTTAAATAGTTTTATTTTTCCTTGAAAATACACAAATCGTGACTGTCCAAAAGCTTGTTGGATGATTTTGTAAAGTTTGAATCACTTTGTACTGATATGCTTTAATGCCAATACAAAGGGTCATGTCTGCGAATGAGTAGCTCTTTGAGACTAAAAACTATCAAAATGTGATATAAGATTTAGCTCTTACCGATTTGAGAGCAATCAAGACTTTATATTCTTTGATCCAGACACATGCAGGGTGAGGAAACAAGAGACACGGAAAAATTTATTTCAGAAATGTAGTTGATAAAATGAACTCTTCTATCTGGTTTTCAAGCAATCTTAAAACATTGACTCATGTATGTAATCAAAGATTACTCAACGGAACTTTTCCGTTTCAAGGTAAAATAGAAACTGTCACACTGCTACAGAGGTCAAATAATTTCTAGGCTTTCAATTTTACTTTTACCTATTGAAACAGAGTTCTCATCATTACGCTCGGAAACGCTGACTAAAAATCTGGCTTTGATGTAAAAAATATGTTGGTTAGAGTATTCATGTTGTTACACATTGTCAGTTTAGAATTCATAATCATTAATTCAACTCAATTCAGTTCAGTTGATACTGTTATATTTACGGCTTGACATCTACTGCTCGCAGATAGCAACAGCTGGTCGAGGCGAGCAGCAGTTTCACGCATATTAATAAAAACTTTACAGTAACAATTAAAGAAAAGAAATAAATATTCACTTGATAGTTATGCTCAGTAATGCTGATTTAAAACCTGGATATGATATAAAAAGATATTGGTTAGAGTAGAATTCATAAACATATTTCCATTGTTTAATTCATTTTATAAACCTGTCCAAAGTCACTGCTTATGTCATTAAAACGTTGAATGGACTCATACCTGCACTCCAAAACAGAGAACGTCTCAGGGTCTAGGCCTTTCCCGATTATGCTACTAAACTGGCATTTTATGCTGCTAGAAATTCCGCTTTACGCCAAAAAATGCTCAAATTATGCTCGATTCTCAAAATAATGCTACTTTGCTTGCAGAAAATGCTTTGTTTAATTTCAGGCAAAACGTAGAAACTCAGGTATCATGTGTGTATCAGCAACTGAATGAAGTGAAAAGTGTTCAATTGTTTGTTATTAAACTTCTGATACAGTCAAAACTTGTCCAATGATAAACAGTTAATTAATGTTCGAAGTTCTTAGCGCTTTTTGTACTGTGACATGACACTGGCTTGGAGGTAGTCAACAAGAGCACAATTCTGTTGCTCGTTGAGGGATGCCTTCAGTATTAAAAATACTCTTTCTGCCGTAGCAGACGATGGTTGGACAAGGAGAACTTGCTTCACTGCGGAAGCCCAACGAGGAAGTTGTTCCTCGTGCTCACACCATCATTCGACTTTCTTCTCTTCAGTCGGGTAACAACATCTTCAGCGGCAGCCAAATAGGCAGGAAGCTCGGCTTTGAGACCGTTGATGGTAGTATCACTATCCAGGAAAGGAAATGCTCTCAGAGATTCTACTAATGCATTTGTGGGCTTAAGCCACTGAATCCTAACGGGGCAGAATAGTCTGAAAGCCTTGAATGCTACCACTACATCATAAAGATCGACATTGAACTTTCTCAGAAACCACGTAATTGCCGGCTAAACATAAGCCTTCGCACTCCCTTCGAGTGCTCTTACGTTCTTCCTCCGCAATTGCAGTTGCAATTGCACGGACGTTAGGGAAACAAGGAGCTTGACAAAAAAATGGCGCTTAGTTTCTCATAACAAGCCAAAAATCAAAGGACCATCCCCTTCCAAAAAATACGTGGCTTTCACAAAATGTTCGCCAACATCAATAGTAGCGGCAAGCTCAAGCTTCAAGTTCATTGGTCGCTGTGGTTCAGAAAGTATTGCTTGAAGTTGTGGCGGTAACTGTGGGCAAACTTTTGCGTCCTTTGCCTCTTCTACGAACCTTGCGACATCTCCAAACTGCACCATCAACTGATGATACACCTCCCATTTGGACCACTTTCTAGTCTCGCTATATGATCTTGATGTTTGACCTGTTAAATCCTTCCATAACAGCTTGGCTTTACAACTATGGCGAAACATTCTAATCCAAAGGCTTCCGAACTCTACCAATGTTGGGATCACTAAATGGTTTCCCACGTTATCAAGTGTATGAGAGAAGCACACGACATTCAGCATCTTAGGGAATATAAATGTTATTCTGTCCAGTGCTGCTTGTTTAACGCTTGCACTGTCTCTCATGGCTGCTAGAAAGGAATTTGCTCTGACCTCATAATCAACAGACAGGCACTGATTAAGAACTTGTGCTAATTCGTTGGCATTGACTGACTTAGAGCAAACATCAATTCTCACAAGCCGTTGGATAATGTTCCAGTCATTGTCCACTATACGTACTATTACGTACTATTGCTTCCCCTTGTCTGGTGCTGCCGTCAAAAATGACTGAAAGGTCACTTGTCATTGCTAACTTGACCAGGTATTTCCAATTCTTGTTTAATCCGTTCAATTTCCTGTTTCAAAGCCATGGAAACATACTGTCCCAGATGAGAGCTTCCAGTGAGTCGATAGCTGTTCTTCTCCAACAGAGACCGTAGCATGTCTATTTTATCGATCGGGATACCCACCTTCAAAAACTCACAGACAACTTCGATCTATCTTTTGAACTTCCTTCGCTTCTGAATGCCTCGATTATGGTCTGGTCTTTCAATTTTGACTTTTTCAACTTCTCTTTACCGTTTACCGTTGCTTCTTGGACGAAATATGAATTTTCAGAACACTTTTCATGGAGGAAATGATTTCTCTACATCCACTGCAAAACAACTTTCTTTCTCTGGCAATCAAATTCTCGCCTGGGAACTGCTTAACTCGCTCATATAACGGGACTTTCGTTGTATCGCTGTTTCCTCTCCGCTTGTAATTTCCACTGGTTCATTCTAAAGATCGATCTCGAGCTATCGTTGAAGGGACCGGTCTATGTTCCCCCTCAGAATTTCCTTCTATAAGCTGCAAGTATCGAGAAGATGGCGTGGCACTGGCCGACGCCATCTTGTTTGTACATGCGCCTGAACGGCCTCTGAAAGTTAACCGCTGACCAGCTGACTCAGTTCATACAGTTACAGAAATCCTTCTCTAAAACACAAAAGCAAATCATCACAATGCTTTTGAATTCTAAAATTTAGCATTTAAACTCTTTTGAGTGCTGAAATCTAGATCAAAGTTATGCAAAATGCTAAATAACGCTAGCAATTCTTTTTACAGAAAAAGTGTAAAAAATACTTTTTTAACCACATAATGCCAAAACAAATGCTGGGATAATCGGGATGGGCCTATCAGGGTCTTCACTTTAAGGAAACCGACCTAACGCCTTAATGCAAGAAATGCATCACTCGTACATGTATATTAACTAGCATCAAGGCCAACGGCCATAAGGAAGCATGAAGTTGATGCTCTACATCAGTCTAAAACAAAGATTCGATGTTCTTATTCAAAAAGCAGAGGAGAAGATGCTACCTTTTTCACAGAGAAGTTTAAGACCCCATAATGCCATGTAAGGGGTGAGATATGAACATTGAAGGCACTATTGCCCAATGCAAATTTCTTATTTTACGAGGAAAGCAAGTCACTCTGCGAGCACATTTGCAGCTAAGATATTCTCGGATTATGCCGTTATCGAGCTTCCAAAACAGCACAAGCGGAAATAGAACGCAAGTAAAGAAGCCGTGAGAAAATATGGAAGAGACCGAAACCCTAATTCCGTCTGAACAGTCGATCCGTAAAATCATCCGTCAGTAATTTTACAGCCCACAAAATCAAATCGTGAAAAAAAAATATGTCTTTCTCTTGCTCTTCTTGAAGCACGGACAGGCCAAGTCGGTCTAAACAGTGGCAACGGCGGTTATGCCGGCAGAAAACACTTAGTACTTTCGCCACCGAACTGATTTAAAGAGCAGAAACAGAGAAAAAGAAAAACTATTCCAGCAGCAGGGTAGTTCTAAGTCCCCGAGATCTACTCCGTCTAAATGACGAAAACGGGTCAAGAAAGACCTCGAGCTTTGGCTAAAAACGCTAAATGCAAAGGTTTTGGTCCTGGAAAATTGACAACCGTCCTAGTTCTCTCATTAAAAATAAAATCCCGTAAGCGTCAGTCCAGGGTTTTGGGAATGGGTCGTAGATTTAGACATTCGCTAAAGGATCTGCTTACGGCCTAGTTTGATCTACAAATCAGAGACAGTCATGGAGTTCGAATCCAAGTGATCACACGATCAAATTCCTTCCCGTCGATAACATAGTTAGGCCGGCGCTTCTGTCAACAGATTGGGTGTAAATCGAAACACAGCCATCTGCACGATGAGCTTTACTATTCCTTGGTCATTTTGAAGGACAGATATGTTTGTCGTGTCGATGGAATAAAGCGCCGAAGACAGCTTATGTCAAAGTTCTGTCAGTCTATCGTCATTTTCAAATATAGCAAGATTCCTACGTGGTTCAGATCATTAAATTACTCCGGCTCAAATTTACGTTATTCGTCTAAATAAGACACCTACGTTAGGATTATAGAAGACCTAAATGTAATAACTTTCCGAAATGTAATAGAGTTCTAAATGTAATAACATTTGGTCCTAAATGTAATAAGCCTTCAATGCAATTGTTTAACTGCGCTATTGCATTGTTGTTATAGCGGATATTTACATTGAGATGTTAAAGTGATAGCTGTTGCACCAAAGAATCCTGTGATTAATATTCATGGCATATTGCGGGCCCGCTGATATTAATCAGCGTCTTTTTATTTGCCAGAGACGTAGGTCAAGAAGCATTCAGGCATTGACTACAAACCCTTATATTGATGTGCTCTTGGCATCAAATTGACAGACGTCAAAACAGTGAGAACGCTAACCTATACCTCTCTTTATATCATTGACTCAGACTCTTTGGTGCTACAGATTTTGACGATATATTTGTGTGATCAGTGCAGAAGTTAACACTTTATGAACCAAATTACAAGGAAAGGAAGTCCACTGACCCATACGTTAGACAAATTCCGGGCTCAGAAGTGCAATGATTTTTTGTATTGTCTTCCCTTGCTAGATTCGTATGGGTTTGCATGAAATATATTCGTATGCGTTATTGACCAAGCGTGAGGTCAAGGTGGCTAGATATGGGCCGAGTTCTTTTGATGCGTTTTCATGAAACGAAGTCCATAAAAACGCAGAAAAAGAACGAGGTCAATATTCAGCCATCTTGACCAAATAAGCTTGGTCAAGAGAGAACATATATTCCACGATCGATCGAAAGCTTTTATTTCAATTTTTTGTCTTCATCAATATAAATTAAAAAATAAAGTTTAACAGTTTACACTTACAGTCATAAGGTACATGAACTGATTACCGAGTGGAGTGAAGCCATAAATGAAGCTACAAATAATAGTTCCGTTGAATAATCTTTAGTTACATGTATGAGTCAATGTTTTAAGATTGCTTGAAAACCAGATAGAAGAGTTTATTTTATCAACTACATTTCTTAAATTAATTGTTCCGTGCCTCTTGCTTCCTCACCCTGTATGTGTCTGGATGAAAGAATATAAAGTCTTGATTGCTCTCAGGTCGGTGAGAGCTAAATCTTACATTTTCATAGTTTTAGTCTCTAAGAGCTACTCATTCCCAGACACTATTAAGGCACATCAATACAATGTGATACAAACTTTGCTAATTCATCCTACAAGCTTCTTCACAATTACTTTTCGTGCATTTTCAAGGAAATATAAATCTATTTAACGTTGCAATCAATTGTTATAGGACGAGAAAGCAATAAAATTCAATAACATTTCCCATAAAATAATAAATTGTGATAGTCGTTTCTTGATATCTACTGCTAACAGTGACAGCTATACAACTTGCTCTGACACTCAGCCTAATTGTCGGTAAATGTTGTAGCATCCAATGCCCTGATTCTGACTCTTCGAGCAACGCACATTCAAAACAAATATAGCTTTAAATGGCTGCACTCAAATGTACAACGGATATTGAACAGAGAAACATCACTCATTAAAGAATTTATCTAAATATAAGAATGTACTGACCACGCCATCGAACTACTAAGGGAAAATGGCTAAGTTAAACATTTTCATTTGGCACTCTTCCCCTACATCATGCCTGACTAAAGTATCCTTTGTTGGAACACATACATATTGGGGTGGATGCCATACTTCAAAACCCACATTGTTTGTGATACTTATTCCGTTCTTATTTGCCAGCATGCCAACGTAAACATCGTCCAATCTGAAGAACGGCAAAGAAGAGAAAGTGTCAACAAATGCACGTACAACATCGTGAGATAAAATATATCCAAAACCGGGGCAAAAATCTGGATATCTTGTCTCGTTATACTCCTCGTAAGTTACCATCCATTTGCCTTTCCTATGAGGGCCCATGTTTGCATAATGACAGCCAGCATAAAACATCTTCTTCGGCGTGGTGGGTGCGCTTAAGAAGGAGAGAACTCTTGGAACGTGCACGAAAACGTCGTCATCCAACTTCAAAAGAAACGAGAAATTGCAATACATTACTGCCCATTCGAAGCCCATTTGTATCTTCCGGGTTTGATTCCAGTAATGATCGTAATAGCTGGCTCGCACAAGGTCTTTATTAGCTTCGTCTTCCTCTAACAACAAGTTTGACACTCCTTTATCCTGTGTTTTAGCGACAAGAAAAGCTGTCGTCCATCTCGGTCTAAAGGCTCTTTCGAAAGCCCATGACTTTCGAATGTTATTCCTTCTTTTAAAATTACCTGGAGCGGATGAGACAATCATAAGAAGATCGTAATGTTGCATACAAGATCTCCTGGTTGTAAGAAATGTTTTGTGATTAATTTGCGAAGTAGAAGTCGATGTGAAGTTTGACGAAGATTCCGCGGCTGAGTTAAAAGGATGCATTTGAAATTCCTGCATTACCATCTGCTGCAAATGTTTTTCGATATCTTGTTTCTCTCGAGCGATTTCTGAAAAGGAGGAACGTGAGTTCCATAAAAAACTTAGCTGAAAAAATATACAAGTCGCCGCCACAAGGGTTACAACCATCAAAACAGTTTTGTCCCGTTTTCTAATCATTTTCAAACTCAAGAAATTTTATGTAGAAGTCACCAAACGGAAGCTTGAGCAACACGCCAAATTTATGTAAATTAAGACGAAGTTGTCAAGCTTGGCTGAGATGCATTCGTTATCGCTCTTTACAACAGACAGTAACCAATTTAGAATATATGCCAATGGGACAGTTTAATTAAAGACCCATTTTTACCCTTGATACAACGCGCGCCGCGACCTACTTCCTGTAACACGAAATTCCCAGATTGCTGAAAACCTCTTAAAATCGTCTTCCAGATGAGCCATCAGGGACAATTAGTCAATTTTTTTAAAGGTTAATGCATTCGTTCATCATTTTAACAGTTTCCTTACAGTATTTTGAGTTTAGTCCGTATTATTGCGAACAATCTAATGAAATATATATGCGAAACTAAACCAACAAAAATTCTAATTAAAAATGCTTACAAAATAAACAAGAAATTCTCCGGTGCAATTAAAGGGCTAGGTGGGAAATCAATAAACGCTTAGCAAATTGGCGAGCTAATTTTAGCTTTATACTTTATCCCCACCAACTGGGTCTCATTCGCATTCTTGTTGATAGAGCCTACAAGATCAACAACACATGATTGGGTTTCCACGAGGACATCAAAAAACTCACTTAAATCCTTAAAAAATATCTTTTTCGAGCCCATCTGGTTGAAAGTGTTGTCAATCGGTACCTCACGCTCACCTCTAAGGAGTGCAATCCCCTGGTCTCCGTTTCAAACACTAGCACTAATTTTTATTTTAAATTACTTTACCTTGGCCCTTTTTCTGCTGTCACGCAAAAAAGGGTTCGCCAATTTGCTAAGCGTCGCTAATACGTTTGGAGTGCTTACGCGTACTTGAGCACTTGCTCAGTGATAATACCTCTCACATTTTCAGACATCTACACAATTCTCCACAATGTCGCGCTCTTTGTTCTGATGAGTGTTTTAACATCCTAGATCACGCTTCCACAACTTTTCAACTTAAGATTAAAGAAGCTATCCACATTCAATGGGAGAAACCTACACTTAATCATCAACTTTATCATGTCAATTTAGAACTTTCCTTGAAAATACATACATTATTCTGTTACTATTGTTTGTTTTGTCCAATCAGCATTTTGTTACACACTTCAAATTCAACTTTGTACTTTGTATTATTGAGAATTGAAGATGATAGAAGAACTGTCGAAGCATGTTTTTTTTAATTTTAAAAGTGTCGTTCATTTTCTTAAATTTTGTTGGTTTTAAAACTGTTTTTCAGCTCCTCTGTTGTTCTAATTTCGTCACGTTGACACGACAAATAGTTGAACCTTATGGGAGTTCATCTGCCCAGGCCAATTCTGAGATCAACTTTGTACTTAAGGCCTTTGCATTCTCGTCACTTTCCTTTTTGCATTTCTCTTATTGTGCGAAACAACTTGCCACGAGTGCAAGCGGATGGCAACATTTTTTAACTTAAGTTCAATAACTTCTTGAGCCTCTTGTTCAGTGTACTTTATTGAAGGGTTTTCCTTATTTAGATATATTTAGATTTTCACCGAGATTACGTATTTCTGGTCTCTTATGTGGCTAGAAAAGAGTTCAGTTTAGATGTGATCATAACAGAATAGACTTCACTTCTTAGCCGAATGAATCGTAACTGGTGGAGTGTTGTCGCTGAGTAAGTTAAGTCTCTTTAATTTTTTAAAATTTTTTTCTGTTTGTCTTTTCTGTCTTTCAAAGACAACAAATTGCACTCGGCTTGTGCAACTTGGTTCGCCTTCGAAAAATTTACTTAGGCTGATTTATCCCAGTTTCACTCGAAATCACGTTGTTATACCTTCACCTAACAGACGAAACCAGTAGCATGAAAGTCTCTTCTCCAAGCACAGAAAGTTCAAAGTTTAGAAGCCAGACCGGTCTATTCTCCAGAATACTGATCTAGACATTTCGTTTTTGATAAAAGGTATGTAAACGTAAATAATTTCATTTTTAACATAGGGTGCATGCAAGCCCCTAACTAATTCTTCATGAGCCACTATGGTGTATATGATGTATGATGCATTCGTACGTTTTTCGCTTCTAAACAGCAAATTAGCATCTCCTTGAACATAGCTTTGGTCTCAAAGTATTCCTTGGCCGTTTTTGCCCTGTCTTTTAATCATAGTTTTCTTGTTGAACACGATTATCTGGTAAACCCTAAAAAAGTGTAATAAAACAATTTTTTCGTGCACAAGTTGCGTCCGCTTGTCATAAAATAATTATTCCATGTTTTAGTTGTGCTATATTTGCATTGGTTCTTGATGCCCTTTGGGAGTTTGGCTCGCGGCTTCGCCTCAACCAACTCTTCCGCTTCTGTCGTGCTCTCCCCAATTCCACTGCGCCTACATCCTTATCTTGAAATACGAACGCCGAGCATAAACCACTTGTCAAATATTTGATAAAATGTTTAATCATGATGACATGTCGTCGCCGAAATGTCACTTTTTGTTTTAATAGCATTCCTTTTTATCCTCAGCGATGAAAATATCCCAAAGATTTTCAGCTTTTTTTTATTCTGAGCGTGAAACCTGAATAGGTAAAGTGATACTATTCAGTGATAATTCACTTAGTGTTTCCCTCCTGAATTAGATCATTTGGCGAGTTACAAACAGGAACGGAAACTCAATGGCTAACAACACCAGCAACAGCACTTACCATCACAAAAGCAATGGGACCCAGTTCCCCCTCTCTACGTCCAAATGCATTCCGTGGTTTGCTGGATTCACCACTGAATGTCTGGCCATTATCATCCTCAATATCATCATAATTATATTTGTGAAGCAGCGTTAGCTACAGAGCAAGAGTACATACTCGATCATTCATCCATCGATAGTTGATCTCTTGGTCGGGGCTGTCTCAGGACCTCTGAGTATAGCCCTGATGGGAAGCCTCTGTAATCTATGGAATAATGATCGCATGATAGCATCAAGGCAGGTCCCACTTATTGCGTCTCTCGTAAATCTCACTGCCATTTCATTAGAGCGGGTGCACGCAGCATTTCGTCCTTTCAAGCGTAGATTCATTAAAAAATGGGTTTATGGGGTTATAATAAATGTGATTTGGTTAATAACCGCGAGCACTCTTCTGGCCAGAGCTAAATTAATCAATAATATCCGTGCCGGGATCATGATGTATTTTTCAATTTTTGCCTTTCTTCTTTTCGTAATTTCTCTTCCTTACATTTTTATTTTTATCAAAGTGCTCTTCAGTCGTCATCCCAACATAATGGCGCGATGGGTGTTAGGGAAAGAAAATTAACGATTACATTATTCATTATTACTCTCTCATCTTTAATAAATTGGTTTCCATCGTTGATACACCTGAGTATTTCGATTTTCAACCCTCACGTATCCAAAATCCTTTTCCAAGAGAACATATCAAAACGCAATGATGATATTTTTATTCGCAAACTCGTTGACAAATTCTACAATCTACGCTGGCTCAAATGCAGTGGATTTACCACTGCACAATCTTTAATCCACTGATCTTTCGTTTATCAATATGTAACTTCTCCATACAATATCAAGCCAGTATGTAAGAACAGTCGTCATACTTATCAATTAGAAATTGTTATCTTGATGTGAAATCGAATTCTTATAACTATTTACAAGTATAATTTAGCGGCCAGAAAGAGTAGAATTACAAAATATAACCCCAAGGTTAAAGGTTTAACCATGGAAGCGGGAAGGGAAGGCGTGGTTTACTTATTTTCAAAGTTAGTTTTAACACAATGTAAAGTAAATTCAAATTAAAGAAACTCGAAGATTTCTTATTGTAAGGTTCTGTGGGATATCACTACATATTGTGTCCTACAGTGCTATGTCGCATGTTCATACTTTAGTAATGGTTCTGCGCAGAGTAAAACAGTGTCGCTTTCCTCACAAGAATACAAAATTGGAAATAAAATCTTCTGAAGGTTTACCTCGAAAGAAACTTGAGTCATTTGACTCTTAACCTTCGAAATATTTTTCCGTCCGGCCCTACGACTCAGCAATAAGTACCTTATTATATAAACAGTAGAAGATAAATATTTCGAAAGTTTTATTGAACCTAAGTAGGATATAATTGCATAGAAAAGAAGGGCAACCACTGGGGAACGACCTAGAAGATTCTACAGTAAAAACGTTTCGCCTTCGTATCAGAACAAGAAACTCATAATTTATCGCCTAATCCGCGTTTTTGGAGAACGCAAAAGAGCCGTTTGAGTGGCTCTCTCCGGACTGGATCAAGTCAACCTGTTTGGCCTTACACATGTCAGCTTTCACAAACAATTTCGCTAGGAGCATCTCGTGCTCTCCAAACTTCCCGCGTGCACCCATACTCGCTAACCTTGAACCAATATTTTTATTTTAGTTAAGATAACCTCCTAAGCCCGACATCACCACGCTGTATACTAATCAATTATTCCACGAGCGTGAGTTGGATATGAGATAATGGCTATAATCATTTCATATCCAACAAGCGCGAGTAGAGTAATTGTTTTATTTAAAACACCTCAAAATATAGATTACTCTACCAACTTCATTTTGTAAGAACAAACGTAATGTTACAATGTACAAAATCACTTCCGATTGACTCGTCTTCATGCGCGCGCATGGTATAATAGCTTATAGCCCATGATGGCTAAACTAATGAAAACTTTTGAATTGCATTATCCAATGATCCAGTTTTAAATAATATGCAAAAGCCATATTTACTCTACAACCAATGGAAGTAATGGAACAGGTATGTTATAGTGGTAAAATGGGATAAAAAAAGATGTGGAAAGTAACCTTTCTTCTTGGGAAAAGGGGGGAATTTTTTTTAAAAGAGGAGCTAGTCTTATTGCAGTGAAGGGAGTTAGTTTGAAAACTTTGTTGTCAGTCTTCTATTGCTTTACTTTCATCCCCAGCTCGCCGTCAATATTGCTTGGCGGATTGCATTTCCTATTGGAAGAACGATAGCGGTGACATTGATGGCCAACTCGCTCATAGATCC